GGCTTCCAATTATGTTTGTTTAATATTTTTATCAGTTAGTTCTAACCTTCTTAAAATATATCAGCATTTTGTGGGATTTCTCTAAAGAACTGGGAAAAAAAATAAAATAAAAAAAAATAATTCAGAAATAATTCAGACTATGATGCTGGAGAAAGAGGGATCTCAGATTGTGGTTTTACAGGTATAGCCGTTTGCCCCAGTTTTCTCCAGTGACATAAATTCGCTCAGCTCTTTTGCAGTCATGGGATCCAACTCCTAGCTGATATGAATCAAAGCACCTCTATTGCTGAAAGTCAAATTTATGTCTGGAATAAAAAGACACATCTCTCTTCATGAAATCAGGAGGACCACATCTGCAGGGGTGTAAACTTCAATTCATGAAGTTACCTGATGCAGATCAGTGGCAGATTTGACCTATTTGAGGTTTTATTGAACAGTCTGAATCATTGCTGAGCTGTCAGCGCAGAGTTCAGCAACTGAGAAGCTATGAGCAGGGTAGCTTGGTCAGACATTGTTAAAATTAATCCTTGGAGGTGTTTACTCTGCTAATGATGTTCTACATAGAAGAGCTGAAAAGAGACGAGATTGGAACAGTATTTGCTGATAATGCAAATTATAGTCCAAATAGTATAAGGATACAGGAAATGACCTTATATCTATATATTCTCTTCTGGCAATTTTTAATTTTCTACTATGTCAAATTTTTCTCTTGGGTGACTTTTACTGTTGCACCAAGTGATCCATAGACACTGCCATGTGTGAGGGATTGAAGGACAGGAAGTCTCAAGTCTGATTTTGTGCCCTGATGTACAAAGATAGTTCTGAAGGGGAAAGATGCTTTATTCCACTGTGATTTTTGCTTTGTGCCCAAGCAGCTGCCTTCTGATGCCACTCAGGATATTTTTAGAGTGAACATACATCCCTTAAAAACTAGTCTGAGGTTTTGCATCCATAAGTTTCTTCATAGACAAGAATCCTTAGTGAAGATCAAAGAAATATTAGGAGAGGAGAAATTATTTTCTCACCCCAGTTCCTGACTTCCTCATTGTCCTGTTTGAAGGGGATTTCATACTTCTCACTGGCATAACATGTCCAGAGAACCCCCCTGAAAAGATTTCTCAACAGATAGTGCTGTAGCATCTGAGTGGGCACCCTTAAAATTCCCTTAACACCTCTAAAAGGATACTTTTAAGACAGTTTTACTTTTCTGTGCTGAGTCCTTCCACCCTCCCCTTCATACACAGACCCTTCTGTATTCCAGCCACTACTGGTTCTGATGAAGCAGGAAAAGGTTATAGCTTACTACCTGTAGCAAAAAACAGCAGATGCCATCATAGCAGCAAGAGGCAGTCATGGCACGTCAGCGAGATTTTATTTGAGTCCTTGCACCCTCCCCTGTTGGGGAGGTATGAGTTTATAGCCGTCAGAAACTGAGCAGCAAGACCCAGGTTCAGAAGGCCACTGAAGGACTAGTGCTGGGTGGTTTTTTGCCTGAGTTATTGTAACTGATCACACAGTGGAGCTGTAGTGTGTTTAGAAAGCTCACACTTCACTTTCCATCCAATTGCTGCAAATTAATTTACCAACTTAACTTTTTCACTTTCAAAAGCCTTCGAACAAGGATTTTCAGCCCTTCAATTCCAGTACCAAGCTAAATTTATAGCTTTGAGGTCTGTACTTTTAAGCATTAATTTAGGTATTTGCTTTAAATGTTGTCTTGACTAAGCAATACAAGAAAATATAACACTAAAAGATCCCTTGTCGGGAACTGGCCCCTATTTTCATTGGAAGAGCTTGGAGAAGGTAGTGTTTCTGGGAAAGATGGTAAGATGGTTGTCTGCTGGAGGTGTTTCAATTCACAGCATGTGATTGTCATATAAAAACAAAATGGAAATAATTCAAATGCAAGATGGTGAAGTTTATAGAATTGGAACTGCTGCTTAGAATATTTCTTGACTATTATTACAGTCTTTCTGCTATGCCCATTCAATTTCCTGCAAGCGTCTCCCAAATGACTCCTGTACAATGTACTCATGAACAAAAAGGATTGAAAAAACCCTACCATGAGGACAGCTATTTTTCCAGAATTATTTCTGGTTTTCTGACTTCTGGTATGAATGTGTTAATTTAGGTACATTTCTGGAAAGACCTGGGCTTACCCTTGTTTCCAGAATGATGGTGTATCCCATCCCCTCTATAGTGGCTCTCAAACTGGGCTGTGCATTTTCTGTGATAGCCAATTCTTATCCTCTGAATTCCTTAGAGAATTTCTTTAGAGATAGTGACTTGCTAAGATATACCAGTGCTGCTCGGTTTCAATTTGCTGCACTTTTTTTAATGTTCCAGATAACTTGGACTTAAGAATAAAAGCATATATTCACTTAAGGGTTTAGTTTTTCAAATGGGAACAAAGTTAAGGTTATACTTAATGAAGAGTCTGATTGGCTGCTTCTACCTCCTCTTTGGTTAAATTGGAATCTCTATTAATACAAGATGCAGATTTACTACCCACAAAAAATGTCATCATTTTGTTGCTTTTGCAGTGGAATTTTTTTTTTTCTTTCCTAATTACATGGCTTCATAAACTGGGATTACAAGATAGAATGTTAACTATCAAGACTTGTAATAAAATTAGAAGTGTTGGTCAACTACATAATCCACATTGCTTCTCTATAACCTCTTGCTGTAAAGTCACCAAGGCAGATAAGTAGGGTGATGAGATAAAGTGCATGTTCTGCTATATTAATATAGCTTGAGATGAGTCTTTTCTGATTCATGAGAAGTTTTTTAGTGTAAATCCAAAATAAATTTATTTTACCAGCAAAGTCCAAAAAATAATAATAAAAAATTACTTCTTCCCACTCAGCTGACATCAGTAGATGTGTTTGCCTCACCTAGAATGCTATATGATATTCCAAATTTATTGTGACTGTAAACAACAATTCTGCTTGCTTTATGGCTTTCCTGGGCTCCAACAGTAAAACACAATATCTCTATCTGGTTGGAATTATGTGTTATAACAGTTTTATGGTGGGGGGAGTAAAGCTCTGATAAAGATAAAATAGAGTTTTGCTTTTTTGTGTGACCTTGTCATTTGAAAAAAACATTGCACTCTAACGAGACATAATTTAAAAGACTTCTGGGAGCAAATTGAGTTTACTGAGATATTTCTGAGAGTAATTACTTACTGTGAGTTGTCAGTGCACTCTGTTACAGTTCCTTTCCTAGCAAATGTAGATATCTGGGACTGTGTAGAATGGATTAAAGCTTCTACCATTAATGTTTGATGGGAGACAGTAGTGAAAAAGATGGATGCTTATATAACTGACATTTCCAGCATTTATGGCCATAGACTAAAATGCCAGGCGCATAATTTCAAGTAAAATGGCAGACCCAACTCAATAATATTTAATGATGTAGTAGACCTTGGCTGGGAGAGAAGCTAACGGAAGTCATTGCACTGCATTTATCGAATTGTTAAAATGAGTTGAATAATAATTGTGTTTAGCAAGAGTTTTGTTTTAGAAATTTATTTCTGTGACCTGGCACTCCAAAAACAAATTCTTTCTCATCCAGTCAACACAAAATGCAGAAAAAGATTTTGAACTAGCTAACTTGATGGCTAGATTTTTACGCTGACGTTGTCCTGTGCTCACAGCACAGAAATATATTCAATAGCTCAGACACGGTTTGGAAGATTGGTTGAGATTGATTGGACAAGCTAGCGAAAGACAAAATTGCCTTCCAGAAGAATCTCCTTCTAATGTTTGACTCTTTACAAAGTTGGGCATTTTTGTCTATCATCATACATCTAGGAATGTTCAGATTCAGATTCTGTGGAGTGTTTTGCAGTACAGAGATACTTGTGTGCTGGGACTACGATATCACTGATGATGCCAGCAAACAGAAAATTAACTTCTTCTGGACCATTCTGCTAGTACTTTAACCTTGAATAAGCAGAAGAGACTTGAACTGATGGAGAATCTCAAATTGGTAGAGGTCTGTAGGGGTCTTGTTACCAGGTCTGAGGCTACAGAATCTCCCATGGCTCTTTCCCAGGCAATGCTTCTCCCTGAGGAGGGCACAGAACAAAGGTGGACTTGAGGAAGAAGTGTGCATAACCTACCATTTCCCACCAGAGCCAGAGAACTGTGCAGGCTTTCCAGAAGTTTACAAATTAAAAATGGACAGTATATGCATTCCAGTTCAATGACAATGAAAAAAAACTCCTCAAATTCTCACTTTTTGAAAGAAAAAATTTAAAGCATTTTCCCTTTGAAAATCCAGATATATCAATTTGAGTATTCTGAGTATTCCACTTACTAAAAAAAAAAGGAAAATTTGGGATTGGACTTCAGCATAGGCTCTACTTTTATTTTGGTGGGCTGTCACCTTAAAGAACCATTTTAATTCTGCTCACCACTGACCAAGATTTCCTCCCAGCATTTTTTTCATACAAATTTGTCAAAGCTGCATTACTGTCAGTGGGCCATGACATAGCTCTTAGTAGTACTTAGTAAGTCTTTCTGTTCTGTCAGAAGTAAAACTGAGCCAGGAAATAGCCACACTCCACATCCGAGAACATAGACCAGGTTAACACAAAACTTATGGAGACTTGAGCTTAACTGCAGAGAATGTCTTAAAATAGTTCAAGCGTGGGAGGAATGGAAAGGCTGTTGTTAATAGATCTCATAGGTAGGGTTGCTATAAACCCCCAAGAAATGGAGTGATGGAAAGTTTCCAGATAGTAGAGAAGTTTTAGGGGGCATTTCAAGAGCAATGATTAAGTACTTACTTTTAGCCTTGCTTGTTTGGTACTGAAAGAATCTGTTTGACAATCTGAGCAGTTTTCTGAGCTGGTAAAAGTCCTGGGGTAGAGTAAATGGCAGTTGTAAGTATAAATTCCTATATATGGCAAAATTTCCTCACTTCCACAGGAATAGGATATTCCTGCAGTATAAATTTCTGAAAATGTAAACTAAACTTCTCTTGTTTCAGATCTAAAAAAAACCCCAAAGGAGTTGAAAATTCCCCTTGGAGAGTGTCAGCAGGCATCCAGAATACATCTCCAGGGTCACTTAATTCCCTGGATCCTACCCAACTATTATTGAAGTTAATTGAAAAAAACTCTCATTGCCTTGAAGAGGTTTTGGATCCAACTCAAATGGCTCAGTGGGAGCAGATTACAAGTAGGAACCCCACTGTGCAATTCCAGCCATCTGCCTATGGGTAAGCATTTATTGATACAAATGTATTTTCTTGGGCTATGTCATGAGGCACTTCAGTCCCAATTAGGCAGTATTTCAGAATGAAGGAGATCTCCCCTCTCATCTGAGGTCATTGCTATCAGACTTCAGTTCAGAGCTGGCAAGCTATGAAGTAGCAATACAAGTTTACCCACAGCAATGTCACAAGTTATTTCTCTCTTCTGTGTATGTAAAATGATCAGCTAGTGCTGTGTTAAGCTGGTGTTCAGATTCCTGTGTGTCTGCTTGCATTAAACAGGATAAAATCTCATTGCTTCCATCTCAAACCCATGCTCAGTGACACCGTTCTCATTATCAACATTTTACTGTATAATCTCTGGGTTTAGATAAGAGAATTGTTGGGAAACAAAGCTGAGTGTAATATATAAGGACTTTCTTAGCCCACACAACGATGTGTTGCCCTTTTCATCTAAAACTGGGAAAGATGGAGCACAATGTATGTGGAAAGAAGGATGGTTGTCTCCAGCAGTATTGCAGCATACCAGAGAATCAAATTAGTTTTGATGTAAAACACAGCCAGAGACTGTGTAAATTGCCCCAGCTGATTAGGAAATAGGGAAGCTGTTGACATCCTGGAAGGATGCATGTAACAAAATTGCTCAATGGTGTGGTTTTGGAGAGCAACTCACCGCTTGCCAGGCCTCAGCGGTGTCCTGTACATATTTTAATCATCAATTACTCTAATGCTGGGGCAACCCACTAACAACTTAATTATTGTCTGGAGCTCCAGGCCATAGGTGGCTCCTCTAGGCTGTCTTACATAGAAAATCAAATCAGCCAGTGTGCAGGCTGGAAGGGACTGTGCTGCAGCCTCTGTCTCGGGGTGTAGGCACTGCTTGAGCTCGTGCTGGAAGCATCTCAAAGTCTTACTCTGTCAGACTCTGTGCTCATGAGGAAGAGACATTCCCTTGCCAGGAAACCCATAACACAAGTTGAAAAAGACAGGCTGCAATATATTTTGTAGGCTTGGGGCAGCCGTGTGCTACCAGAGGAGGCAGATGTAGCGGAAGGCACTGCTGGTTATGAAAGTCTTTTTTTTCCCAGGACGATGAGTATGAGAGCAACATACATTTTACACCATGACAAAAATCAGAGCAGGAAGCTCAAAATGGAGTCTAGCCCAAACTTACAGAGTCTCACAAGACTCTTTTATTTTATTTCAGTCAGTTTAGTTAAGCCCTTGGGCTCCTCTCCAACCAAGTGTTTGTCTGCCTCTAGACATAAGAATCTGCTACTAATCTTATTTCTGTCCTCGGCTAGATTTTGTCCTTGATAGGAATTTCCAATATGGATAATACAGAGCTTTTTTTGCTTGTGGGTTTTTGCTTATATTCTTTAGAATATATTCAACATCTCTGGTTTTGTCCAAGGAACATTGTAATAAATATTCCTATAAGCAAGAATGAAATTTCTCTGCTGGAGAGAGCCTTTAGTTCAGCTCTGAAAAACTGTGATCAGGAAGTCAGTGACATGTTAGTTTCAGTTTTACTCTGGACCGCAGTTGCCATACAGTACCAGGGTTTATGGAATCATAAAATTATTTGGGTTGGAAGGGACCTCAAAGATCATATCGTTCCAACCCCCCTGCCATGGGCATGGATACCACCCCCTGGATCAGCTTGCTCAGGGCCCCATCCAACCTGGCCTTGAACAGTTCCAGGGATGGGCCATCCACAGTTTCTCTGGACAACCTGTTCCAATGCCTCACCACACTCTAAGCATTTCTTCCTCACATCTAAATGGAATATCTGCTCCTTTAATTTAAAAACATTCCCATTTTCTTATCACTCTCTGTCCATGTAAAAAGTTGCTCTCCTTCTTATTATAAGACCCCTTTAGGTACTGGAAGGCTGCTTTAAGGCTTCTCCCAAGCCTTATCTTCTCCAAGCTGAACAATACCATTTCTGTCATCTTGTTTCATAGGAGAGATTCTCCAGCCTTCTCATTTTCTCCATGGCCTCCTCTGGGCTTGCTTCAGCAAGTCTTTCTTGTGCTGGGCATCCCAGGTATGGATGCAATACTTCAGGTCGGGTCTTAAGTGGGGCAGAAGGGCAGAATCACCTCCCATGACCTGCTGGCATTGCCTCTTCTGATGCAACCCAGGATGAAGTTGCTTTCTGGGCCACAAGTGTGCACTGCTGCCTCATGTCAGTTTTCATCCACCAAACCCCCCAGGACCTTCTCTGAAGAGCTGCTCTCAATGCATTCTCCCAGTCTGTACTGCCTGGGATTATCTGGACCCAGGTGCAGCACTCTGCACTCACACATGTTGAATTTCATTAGATTCTTGTGTCCACTCCTCAAGATCATCCAAGTCCCCCTGGCTGGCACCCCTCCTTCTGTTCTGTAAACTGTACTTCTCAGCTTTGTGTTTTTGTCATCTACAAATTTGCTAAGGTTGCACTCAATCTCACTGCCTCTGTAAATAAAGGTTTTAGACACCTGTCCAATGACAGAGCTCTGTGGGACAGCACTTGTCACCAGCCTCCACTTGGACATCAAACTGTTGATCACAGCTCTCTGGTTTTGTCCATCTGGCCAGTTCCATATGTGCTGAATAGCCCATCCTTCAAACCTTCATGACTTTCCAATTCGGAGATAAGGGTATCATGCGGGACCATGTAAAAAGGCCTTATAAAATCGAGGTAGATGACATCACAGTCTTAACCCCACTAATGAGCTCATCTGCACTGATGAGCACCAGGTCCAGTAATGCTTCTCCTCTGGCTGGTTTGTCCAATACCTGGACAAGGAATTTGTCCTCAACATCTTGTTGAGGTGTGACTGCTCACAGCCAGCTATATTGCTCTCCCAGGAGATGTCTGGGTAGCTGTTTCTTGGCATCTGTATCAGACTGGCACCTGCACGTCCTGAAATCTCATGGTAGTCTCCATGTGTGGCATGTAGCAGGTTGTTTTGTAGGGAAAATGTAGTAAACTGCAGAAATCTAAGAGTTAATATGCAGGCCAGAAAATCTGAGTTACTAACTAAATTTCCCTTCAAGATAATAGATTGGAGGAGCTTGCCCATTGTAGTAAAATGCCCAGTTAATCTGAGAGCCAACAGATGGGAAGTTTTGAGGAGGTAGGAGAGAAAAGGAGATAATAGAAGCTCCAGTTCCATAGACAAGATCTGGTCTGAAATAACAGCTATAAATGGAAATTATTTGCAGGATATTGCCCATATGCTTCCCAAACCTTTGTCCAGGCTGCAGTGTTTTCAATTACTTCCCCAAATGCTGTCACATCTTTTGTAGCACTGTGTCTGAAGGGGGTTCTGAACGTGAAGCTGGGCCAGCAGCAAGATTAATTTCAATATTAAAAGCTGATGATTTTTCACAAAGGTGTGCAGCAGCACAGCTGCTGATCTCTCCATGGCTGCAGGAGCAAGTTTCCTGTCCTTTCATAGCTGTGGATCTCCTACCAGCCCACAGCAACCTTGCCAGGGATGCTGGCAGTGCACACACACCTGCTCTGGTGAAAAAAGGAACATCAAATTCTCACCTTCAGAGCCTCATTCTGGTCTCCTCATTCCAGCTATGTCTCCTTTCTGTGGCTCAAGTGACTCCATTCTCATCAGCCAACTGGTTACAAGATACTAAGGTTTTAGGTGGTTCTTTAGATTTAGCTTGACTAACTGCTTTGACAGATGCTTCTTAATATCTTTTTATTAAGGACATAAACCCCCCTCCTAGCAACCAATTTCTGCCACTTTAATGACTTGTTTGGCTGTCCTCCCTTCCTTAAAAATCTCTTGGATCTCATCTTCCACCACTGTGTTTACTTATGGGATTTCTTGCCCTTTTGAATACTTGCTTCCCCCACTGCTGGAAGCAAAGAAAAGAGGCTGCTTTTGTATGGACCTCCATCAAACACTGTGATACACAAGAACATGGAAACAGCTTGAGAAGAATAAGGCTTTCTCACATTGAGGAAAAACTGAGGCTGTGTCAGACCCATCTTTTGCCCTCTGGTCTGTTGAAATCCTTGTATAATCTTCATTCTTCTGTTTCTTACCTGTGAATGGGGGGCAATGTCATTAACATCACAATTCTGGGTAGCTGGATAGTAAAAAAATAAAATTCAGTGTAAAAGAAAAAGCAAAACAAAGTGGAGGATATTGGGGGAAAAAATCAATCCTGACAGTTCACCAGCTTCCTTCTAGCCCTCCAAAAGGAAGATGTTTGTGTTTAAACAGACAGTGATGCCTCAACATTGGTTTAATTATCAGTAGCAGTACTGAAAGCAGACATAAGGTTAGGAATTATTATGAAGGAGTAGACAACAAGGTGGAATCATTATTACCAAAGTATAAATTCATCATTCCTACCTCTTGAACAGTGTATTTCTGCTGGCTTTACATTGGAGTAACATTACTGGAAAAAATTCCAAAGGATATATTTTAATGACCCACCCTTTAGGAGAAGGTTATCTACACGTATCAAAGACAATCAAAATATGGAAGATCCTCAGCACAGAGAATGATCAAGCAGTTTAGGATTTTTCACGTTGGAAAAGCAATGGCTGGAGGACTATGAAATGAGTTTCTGGCAGAGAACAACTGTTCTATGATTCTTCCAGGACTTCAAGTATTAGAGTGGAGTAAGGAAAAACTATCACATGAAGGTTTAAAGAAATTCAAGGGATTCACTATTCAACCATGTGGAAACTCTTGATGTAGAATGTTTTAACCACTGAAAGTTTACAAAAAACCCCTAACCAAACCCCAAAACAATCTACTGGAAAAATTCACACTAGAGTTGTCAAAAACTGTTCAAAGGCAACACATCCTCACTGGGGTCTCCTGAGTTTCAGGTGCTTTATGCAGGGAGGGAATGTTACTCCAGTCTATATCTCCTAGTTGAATTTCATGCAAACCCCTTATTTTATCTTTACTCAAATCTGTAAAACAACTTTTTCTTCTCCCTTTCAACATCAAGAGATGGTTAAACTGGTCTTTTCCCTCTGTGAAGGTCTGTGTGAAGACTGTCTCACAAAGGAAAACCATGACCTCCTGTTTGCAAGGTGGATGGCAACTTCTTTGCTTTGTGAAGAATCTTCTCTCTTGAAACCTTGTCCTAAAGTTCATAACATGTGAAACTGATCTTCTCTGAAGGAGTTGTTGTGGGTTTTTTTCCTGTGGTTCTTGCATCTTTGAAAAAAACTTTGAGAAGAAAAATACAAGAGATCACAAAACACTTACTTCTCACAATGTGATTCACCAGGAAACAGGAAGGCAAGAAATGAAAGTAAAATAGTGATCTCTGGAGAAGGGGCTAGAGAGGGGAGGCAGAAAAGAGGCCTCCTGTTTTGCTGGGAGGCCGGAATTGCTTGCTTGTTTAATGATCTTATTATAAGCTTAAAATGCAAACTGTAAATTCAGAAGTAACAACTGCCCAAAGACTCTTTGCAAGCTAAACAAACCCAGCCCATCTCATGGAACTTGGCACCAAATGGAGGCCCTTTGGGATGGAGGAAATTACATATCAGTCATTGGCATTAGTGGTCAGACTCCACCAAGTAGATTATTGCTTTCTTCCCTCTTCTCTCTCAGATGAGTTTTGCTCGGTACTTCCTAGTTGAAAAGCGGTATAATCAGGATTCCTTCAGGCTAAACAACCCCAGCTCCCTCAGCTGCTCCTCATAACACTTATGTTCCAGACCCTTCACCAGCTTTCTTACCCTTCTTTTGACAAACTCCAGCTCCCTGCAACATTATTTGCCTCTGATCTTTTAGGGTCTAGACAAGGTACTCCTGTGGATCCTCTGAAAGTTCTGAAGAAGTTGTACCACTACCTGCTTCTTACCTTTCCTTTGTCATCCTTTCAGGAGGGATGCCTGTCTTCACTGTCATGGTGTCTCCAAAACCTGTGCAAGATTTCTGATCTGCTTCAGTGCTAAGGATGATTTAAATGAATCTGTGTTACTCTGAATGAAAACAAATTGGGAGTTCTTGCATGAGGCACCAAGGTACGTCAGCTGTGATGTGTTACAGCCAGTAAGCAAGGAGAGACCTTAAACTGCAGTGGTGAGGTCTGCCAGAGAACATTTGCTCAGACATTCTTCCCATATACCTGTGCCATCAGTTGTATGGCAGACCTCTCAGCTGATGTTGGAACAGGCTTCAGCTTTCACAGCTTTAACACTACACACTCAGCCATATAATCTCCAGAGACAGCCTTTGTGGGAGGCTCTAGCGAAGTCTTTTTTGAACCTGTTTGTGCTCCACCTATGGAAAAGTTCATATTTGTCCTACATATTTGTCCTACTTCCTATCTGGAAGCAGGCTCTGGGGAGAAACGGTCAGGGAGCTGGCTAGCAGTGTGGCAAGCTTTGAGAAATGCCATCCTGTGCAGTAGCTCAAAATAGGGGAGCAGACAAACCACACACCTGAAATTCATTAATGATTCTAAATGCATCCCAAAAGCTGTGGAAGTTCAGAGCTCAGTTCTTTCAAAGTGAGAGTGCTGGGGCTGTGGTCCAGCCATGGGCATAAGAGCATAGAGCTTGGTCCAGGCTGCTTCTCCCTTCTTCAGGTCAGAGCAGTGGGGAAGGCTGAACTTCTTGGGTCGGTTCATCTTTCATTCAAAACTGCAAATTTCAGGGAGCAGCAGAGGGTGACAGGCAAGGCAGTGCTAGCAGGTGGCCTCTTGGCAGTAGACACAAAACTGGATCTTGCTGCTCCCTAGAAGAGGGGTGATGGAAGGAATGACCTATTACAGGCATTTTTCTCTGCAAGAACTCAAAGCCCTGTCTTGTACAATTGTTTGAGGAGAGGTGACTCATTTTATGCCTGTAGTCTGTGCTTGAGCTAAAGGCCTGTGAAAGTCAGAAGGGATCCCTTCTGTAGCTTCCTTCAGTACTTTCTCACTTTAGAAAACCCAAACACACAGGGATTACTGTGTCATTTGAAGTATTTGATGATTTGAAGTCAGTCATCTATTACAATCAGATGTTAAAGAAAAGCTGAAGTTTAGTGATGAGAGCAGAAGATTAGGATTGAGGTTCTAGATGTTTTAAGTTCCTGGGGTTCAGTTACTGTTCAGACCTAAGACAAGGCTTACACAGCTTGTCCATGTTGTCAGGCATGCATGTTATTTTTTCAAGCATTGCATGCTCAGTGTCTGTGACATTTATCTTCTATCTTTTTCCAATGCTGGAGCTTTATTTATTTTTTTTTCCTATGCAATTATCCTTGTACCTCCCTAAGTTATAGTTCATATTGTTTAAAAAGTGACTGAAACAGGGAAGATAAGCAGCTGAGTATTATTCTCTACAATACACAGCTTTCAGAAGCCATACGCCCACAAACACCCACCAAGCTGTCTCCATCCTCCTCTGCGAAAGAAAGAAATTGCTGCTGAGAAATGATGAGAAGAGCTGCTTGCAAAGAGATGAGGCTGAGTAAAATGCAGCAGGACATGGGAGTGTGCTCATGGCTTCTCATTAGTGGAGGAATCTGTACAGAATATCACAGCATACACAGGCTCATGTGACAGCTCCTGCACCTCCAGGCTGTAATACAGTCAAGCTGGGAGGACACAAAAGCAAGAAATTTTGCTTTACTCTCCTAATATTTTTTTCAGCAGGTTTTAACTTACACAGTCTCTCACAATATACTGACAACTACCTTCAAAGATGATATTTTAAGTGAAATCAAATTGCTTTGTGAGAGAAGGTTTTGTGGCTATATTTTCAAGCCAGAATTTTAAAAATACGAAGCCAAAAAGCATTTCATTCTATGTTATCTATTTTAATGTAAAAAAAACCCTCACCCACTAACAAACCCAGCCCTGGTCTCTGTTTTCTACAGGAAGCAGTATTAGTTTGATCTAGTTTTGTGGTTTGTTTCTGTTTGATTTTTTTTGGGGGGTTTCAGCAGTGATTTATTCAGTTACAGGAAAGTATAAAGCTGCTGTTATTTACAGAAAAATGAAACAAATGTTTGTAGTAGAATCATAGATTTTTATTTTCAGAAATGTATCCAGTAAACACTATGAAGCATTGATACATACATCAAAGCAAGAAAATTATACAGGCTCTTACAGACTGTACGGAACAGATGCTAAGTAGGCTCGTAAAGGATTTTGAACAGTATATATTTGACCTTAGAAAATGCATAAATAAAAATGCAATAAAAAAACCTAAAAGGAATAAAGCATTTACATCTTGTCTGCTTTGTTACCATGGTCCTGTTTCAGAAAAACTCTTGTGTTTATGAGAGATTACAATTTCTAATGACATCCTTGGTAAAAAGAACCACTATACTATTCTTTAAAAGATTTGTTATTTTCCCAGTGAAGTCCATGGGATTTTACCTTTGCAAGACATGTAAACCAATAATTAGCTATACTCGTGTCTGCATAAGCTGCGTATCGTGGCTGCTGAAATGAGAGAAATATAGGCTGAAATGAACTGAACTGTCTTTCTCTTAAAATTAGTAAGATTGACATCAAGTGGTGGATTTGTCACTGTACTGCATGTTCTGATAAGCAGAACTTCTTTACCTCAACTGTGTACAACATAATTTTTTTTCTATTTTTAAACATTAATCTATAAATAGGCTCTCTAATGCTATTTTCCCACAAAGTACAGGTACCGTCAAATGTAAAGGTGCAAAAGTCTTGGTCTAATAAGAAATCTTGTCAAAATTAGGCTCTTGGTTTTGGCTTGTTGTGTTTGACTTGATTGTAGGTATCGTTCTATGAAACAGAGTTTTGGAAGGTCTCAGCCCACTGAAGTCAAGGAATTAGTTGTCACTGACATTATTCTGACGGGTAAAGGATGTCCCTGTGGTCCAAAGGCTTCAGCCTGGAAATTACTACTCAATCAGACTCTTGCCTGGAGAAATGCACTAATCAAAAAGTACTTGGAGCTCTGTCTCACTAATGCCTCTCTCTGAGTACCAAGTCAGAAAGCACTACTGATTTTGGCCATTAAAACTTGCCTCAGATCAGGAGGTGACAGCTCTGCTGTCAGAGAACCAAGAAACATTGATGCCATGCACATTCATCTTCCTGCAAATGGAAGAAATTACAGTGGAGTCATGTTTTCCCATTTATAGTTGGGTATCAAGGTTTACAAAGCACACCAGAGAGTAAATGTGATGTATCAGAGTTACAGAGTTGAAGGTTAGTCAAGGCTAGTGAGAGATGACTCGGGTGGGAACAAAGGAGGAAACACATTCCCAAGCAGAAAAAGAACCCCAGCATCATGTCTTGTAAACAGATTGCTGGTGGCCTTTCAGTGTGTGAGTCTCAGGGACCATTAAATGTAACTCCAGGCTCACATAATTAAAAAAAAAAAAAAAAAAAAAAAAAAAAAAAAAAAAATCCCTTATGATATTTTCATGCTTTAACTCAAATATTTTCCTCCTCACTGTTTTATATTTTTATTTGAAGCATGAAACTGTAATCTGTTTTCTAACACCCTTCTGCAAGGGAGAAAAAAATACCAAAAACACAAGAAAATAAGCAACCTAAACTAAAAATCTCCAAAAGCCCCCCAAAAGTCACTATGCCTCCCAAAAGAAAGTATTTCATGTTGTTTTCTCTTGAGGCCACTGTTTAGATTGGACTGGATTCTGTGCCCTGGATTTTAACACAGAAATGTCCCACTTTTTTGAGAGTTTTGGATGAGGCTCCCAGATGAACCCTTTCACACTGTTTTCACTGCTGGAATTCAACCATTACACATTCAGAAACACCACCGAGCTATTAGCTGTGAGACTGGGAACCCTGATCTATGGCTGCACAGTTGTGGGGATAATTTAGCCAGCTGAGGTCTTATGTCTGAGAAAAAAAAGGGAATTGGAGATTTGGCCGGGGATCTGCGAGATCCAGAAAAAGTGGGGGTGGGAAATGCTCAAAGAAATAAATAGTCAGATGTTTTCTATCACAGTTCTCCCTGACATACATGTTTTGCCAAACCCCATGTTGAACTATGTTGTTTTGAATAAGACTTTTGAAATATTTGAAAAGAAGAAAATTTCAAGGATATTTTCAAGTGAGTAAGCATTTCAAAAGGAAAAATTTAGATGTTTCATCACAGATTGTTAGACAGATTCAGAGCAAGCAGTCTGGTTCAGGGTAAAGATTTGTGACATGCTTGCTGATACTGTAAAATCTGCAGTTGTGGTCGAAAAAAAACCCTTTTCTTGGCCTGTCTGGAAAGAGAAGCACTATGATTTCTTGTCACTAGTCATAGGAACATTTTATTTTGTGCACAGTGTCACGTCTGTCAATGATATAGACACAGAGCTCTTAGTGGGCTCATTCTTCCCAGAACATTTCTGTTACTTCTACACAGAGTTATGCTTAGCATAAGCATCCTAAAATCTTACCAAATTTATAGGTAATTGTGATGGATTGACATTTAAGAAACAAAGAGAAACACTTAAAGAAGTTTAGGCCACTGGAGGCTGATGGGAGTTTTTCTCCTGGCCAACAACTGGCCATTTCTGAGAATTGACAGCAGTTTTGACCATTGAAAAGTGAGATCAACCTGTGAACACCACCTTAAGACCTAAGCCTGGGAATTTCGTTGTCTCTTTTTGTTTTCTGGCTGTGAAAGGTAACAGAGCTCCAGCTGGTTCCCCGTCCCCTCCCCAGGCCATGCGGCCCGGGCTGGGCTGGGCTGGGCTGGGCCTGCCGCAGGCCCCGGGCAGGAGATGGGGCCTGCGGGGCTTCTCCTGGGCCCGGGCTCTGGCCGGGCTCTGCTGCAGCTTCCCAGGAAACCTCTGGAGTGGCTGAAGCTTTTCCCAGGGGGGGCCCGGCTTTGAGCTCAGCTGAGCTGAAACCTGGAACCATGAACACCTGCAGCTTGAGCAAGATTTTAACCCTTTTACCACCCAGATGAGATTTGCAGATTTAATCCTTTTTCCAGGAAGAGGAGAAGAGAGGGGGATCAACATGTAAAGAGACAAAATAAACTATCAAACACAGTGAAGAAAGGAATTAAGCTTCAGATGGGGAGAGAAATAAGGAGATGCTTCAATAACCTGAAATATCCTTTTGTTGAAGCTATGGAGATGGACAATAATGTTCTGAAAAAAGTCCTTTAATTCATGAAAGAGTATTTTGGGAGGAATGGAGTATTTCAAAGTGTGGATCTGAGCAAATAGTGAAGTAGTTGTGATCTTAGGAAATGCTGGAACAGAAAAAGAGAAGTAATAATTGTTGAAGATTTGTGGCCCTTAAGAGACAAAGAGAAAACTTCTGTTTCCAGAGATGATCACAGAGACAGATGAAGAGAACTTTTGCCTTTGAATAACTCATCCTTAAAATCACGAACACACCTCAGAGTGGTGTGAAATGGGAGGAAAGGACTGATGGCAGAGTTTTCCGGGCAGCTGGGATCTGAGAAATAGAAAGCCATGAGAAAATGGTTTTCTTGTGAAAAATTCCATAGATTGGCAAGAGAGATTCTTTTTCTCTACAAAGACTAATGAAAAGACTATAGCAAAATTGGGACTATTTTAACCACCAGGTTTTTTTGTCTCTGTTGTCATGTGAACGAGGGAATGGTTAAGTAGTGGGAGAAAAGGGTTTCTGGAGGTTTTATTCTGGTTTCTTATTCTGGTAGTTTTGTTAATAATTTTTCTTTATTACTTTTAAGTTTTAAGCCTGTTTTGCTCTTCTTCTAATCCATATCCCACAGCAAGAAATGAGTAAGTTTTCTAGTGATTTTTTTAGCTAATGTTTTAAAATCACGACAGTAATATATTGTTAGGTAACAATTAGTGCTAGGCACTTTCCTGCCAGAATTGATAGGAACCATACTCTGGTGCAACTGTAGTCTTGCTGTGTCCCAAATTGGTATGTGGCCAGTCATAGCAGCACATTTTTCAGTCCCAATTAATGCACAAAATCTATAAAAATGAAGCTTCTGTTAATACATGTATTCCCCTCAGGCATGAGATATGGATGTGTTTGAGGAGTGTGGGTTGTATCTTCTGCAAACAAGTAATTTTGTTAATTTTTTATTATTTGCTTAATTACATTTTTGCCTTAATCTTCAGTTCTGAAAATCAGCCGTGAATGTGAACAGTAAGTACATCAAGGTCTTGTCATTGCTCAGCTTTTAAAGTTTTGTGGTTTTTTTGGCAGAAACAGCTAGAACATAAAGTATTTTATAACTTTCCAGTGTACTGCTATGATGTTGTACCTGCTACAAGCAAACGAAGATAAGAAATGTGGTTTTAATGGCAGAAGAGGTGCACAAAATTGAAGAATTAATTTTTACTGTACCTATTATTTATGGAGGTGTCCTGGTTTCAGCTGGGATAGAGTTAACTTCTTCCCAAGAGCTGTTGCAGTGCTGTGTTTTGGATTCAGAGTGAGAATGGTATTGATGCTATGGGTTTTTGCTAAGTTGTGTTTATCCTAAGTCAAGGATTTTTTTTTTTTTTTTCCTTGTCTTGTGCTCTGCCAGTGAGGAGGTTTGCAAAAGAAATTGGGGGGGAACATGTCCAGGGCAGGTGACTCAAACTGACCACAAGGATATTCCACACCACAGAATGTCGTGCCCAGTATGTAAACTGGAGGAGTTACCTGGAAGTGTGGCTGATCTGAGATTGAGAAGGGGGATCTGTCATCAGTCAGTGGATGGTGAGAAATAGTGTGCATCATCATCATTAGGTTTTTTTCCTTTGTATTATCATTATTTACGCTTATTTTTGCATTTTACTTTATTTTCAGCCATTAAACTGTTCTTACATTGACCTACAAGTTTTACAAGTCTTGATCCTCCTTCCCATTCCATAGAGTAGGGGTGAAGGAAAGGAGGGCTGAGCGAGCAGCTGTGTGGTGTTTCATCTCTGGGTTTAAAATTACTGCAGGGGGCATTCCTTGAGAATGACAATTATTTTTAGCTGAAGTATTTGGACTGCATTGGTTTATTTGCAGGGCTTTCTGCTAAGGAAACTTAATGAGTTTAGGCCTAACATCTGCCTTAGGCTTTGGCCCCTGAGTTAATTTGCCCCTCATTTCTGGCTGTGCCCCAGTACTGACAGCTGGGGTGAAGGCTCTGGGTCACTCTCAGAGGCCCACGGGAGCAATACTGTTGGTATGAGTTTCAATTTGCAGGGTTCCATGCTGGTACTAAACTATCCCCTATTTAAAACGATTGCGTTTTTAGCAAAATATTCAGCATGCTGAAAGGTTACCCAATGTAGCTACTTATTAGTCACTTCTCAAATCATTAACAAGCTATTTATGACACCTTCATATGCAGGTACAAAGCCTTCTGGAGGATTCCTTCGATTTAATTTCTCTAGCTTAAAGCCGAATGGAGAGAACAAAGGCAGAGCTCACAGTCATTAATTAAGAGGATGAAGGAAGGCAGAGGGGATGCTGACAGGAGGTGACAGACTCATTGAAAAGAAAAAGCTACATCCCGAGAATGGGGAGATATTATAGACAATTCTTTGAGGCTTGCTGAAGTGCAAAACTAATCCGTGAGTATCTCACTACCTCTTTTTGTTAAAAACTGCTTTGTCCTTAACTATTTACTTAATACTGCACAAAAGCAGCTTATAACTTCACATCTGAAATAATACCAAGTACAAATTCTGTTTTTCTTTGCCAGAGGACTTTGGTAGGACATGTAGTCCCTTGATTATTAAATGCTTCACGAGTAGCTGTCAAAGGAACCAGGCTGGGAATAGGATTTCCCTGTTTCTACAGGCATGCTGTCTGAGATTGGCATACCACACGTGTCAAAGTCTCCGCAAATCTTGCTGTCCAGGTGGCCTGAGTGTCCTGGCCAAGTCCTCTAGCAGAGGGGGATTTCACAGGAACCATGTTGGCAAGGAGAGAGCTTTGCTTTGTGGGACAAAGATGGGCTTTTCTGTCATTGCCCAGGGGCTGTCTGGCATCAAGGGCAGCAAGAGAGAGGAAATTTCTGAGGTATTAACAAAACCAGGCAATGCATTTTAAACAATCCCCAATCCCCTAAAAAAATAAAGAGTCGCTGATAATCACTTTGGCATAAACGGATTGTCAGCTTTTCTGCTGCCCTCACCTGCTCTTTGTTTTCTCTGTGGTTACATGGCCTTTTCATTTCTTGGTTTTCCATCCTCCTTTTTGCTTCTGCCTTGCTCCCCTGTGTTTTTAAATATTAAGATGCTGGGCTTTGTGCAGCTGTGGTATTCACCAAAATAATTTTCCCATCTGTAGTCAAGGGAGCAGTTCCCATCTCTGGAGTCTCATTTCTTCAGGGAATCACCAAGGACTTTGCAGTCACAGTGCAAATGCATATTCTTCAATTCCATTTCTCCCTGGTTGTCTTTGCTGCCTCATACCTGTCTGTGGCTGAGATGAGTTTGGTGTCAACACCGACAGAAATTGCTTGAAAGGACCCAGTTCCTGCTTGGGAGGCTGAAAATGTCAGCACCCCAAGCAGGGGCACTGCATCTCCATCACTGCTTTGGATGGGCTTGCAGTGACCCGGAGTGATGTGGCTGCCCTGCATCCCAGCGTGGGAGCCCCTTGGTCGGCACCACCAGGCACAGAGGACTGGCCCTGGCAGGAGTGGAGACCCTTGCCGTGCCCTGGGCAGTCCATGGCACAGCAGGCTCCCTTCCCACTGGAACTCCTCAGGTGTGACTTTATTGTGGTAATAACCATAGGATTGACTTGGTTTTCCTTGGTAAATTCTTTGGTAACGTTTTTAATTGGTTTATGATTCTGGGGTGGAAGAAGTGAACTGTTGCAGTAGTAAAGTTTAAGCATGGCTGAAGTGCTGTTTTGTACCTCTTGATCTGAATGGCAGCCCTAGCTGAAGAGGAAGGCTCATTTGTAAAGCTGCCTCTTTCTTTGCAAGTTTCTAAAAATTTTTATTAACAGAACAACTGTTTCATTAGCACACTGATTAGCTGTGAATTTCTCTGCCGTTAGAGATGTGCGAAGGACAAGCTCTTAACACAAAAGGAGCAATCAAGGGGAAGCAACTTGTTGCAGCATGCAGAATTGACTACTAAATGTTCTTACTCTGTCCTATTGTATTTGCTCATGTGGAGAGATTGGGGTGCTCACCATACAGGGGACAGGAGATGGCAAATTGTTCAAGCAGCTCAGCAAGGACCGAGAGAACTCTGTGAAGCACACCTGCTTCTGAGACATAACTGAGCTGTTTTTTCTCTCCTGTGTTCAAGGGACAAGCACTGATGAGCAGACTGGGGTGCTGCAGGACAAGCTGCATCCTCTGAGAGCACTGGGTGTAAGGCCTGGCTGCAGCATCCCAGGGTATCCATGTGTCCATTCCCAAGCTGCAGACACTACAGGCAGCTCGGGGTCTGGCACTACTTGTAGCTACCAACCATCCTAATTTACGTATTTGACAAATAAAATGGGAGCGTGGGTAGTAAGAAGCTGACAGTATGACCGAGATTATTTTTATCTTTTCTCATCTGTGGACTTGGGATACATGGACTATCCCAAAAGGTGTGACTTAATGCTCACTGAATTCAGTGGGATTTGTTTTGTTTTATTTTATTTCAACATAAGCATGTTTTCTTGCAGCTTTTCAGAAATCAAAAGGACATTTTCAATTATTTTTTTTTTTCTTGTAATGGCATTGGATGCCTAATTTTCATGCTATGAACTTCCTTTTTAAAAGTGGTGGGGTTTTTTTTCCTCAGGAAAATCAACTTTGAAAAGTTATTAATTTCAAATTAGTTTAATTTTTATTTTTTAAAACTGAAATTATACCCAAAATTTGCCCAGAGACTATATATAAAATGACATCCTCTAAAATGGCACCGCTTGTTTCTAGTAGAGAATGAAGGTCAGATTCTCCATCCACCTACGTCTGTGGTGCCTTGGCATCAAAGTCAACGTTCTTTCTGCTCAGTATCTGTTATGTTCATTTTCTATCCAATCTTTTTTTTTAATACAATAACTGACTTTTCTGGTGTGTGATTAATGTCTTTAAACAGGTACAGATATCAGCTGACATGTATGGGCTAGAGGTATTACATGAATTATGCAGGCAGCTGGAGGAAGTTGGCATTTAAATACAATTCCCTTTATAAAATTGATCTCTCGTTTTTTTCCCCTAATCACTCATTTATACTCTACTTTTTTTTTTTTTCACTCTGATCCTTCTTTTCTAATTAACTCTTTCATCCTCCTCTGAGAGCTTTTGCAGCCTGAATATAAGCAGATCTGCTGAGAAAGCCTCTCTACTTTCATCATTAGGAACAGCTCCAGTTTGTTTCGACTTACAGGGAATGGTACACTTTGTGGCCATAATTTTAGAAGAAATCATAAATATGGAAAGGTACCATTCAAGGAAATTTTCACTGCCAGTTTACAGAGTCCTCAGCTTTTGAGCTGTGCAAAGTACAAGTATATACTGCACTACACTGTCCCACAGGGCTTGCAGTCTTTTGGGAAGAGGAGGTGGGGTGACAGGATTTTTGCTCACAGCTGAAGTAGCTGTTTGTATCCAGGACCAAGTATAAGAACCTTGTTTTCTGGCTGCTGATCCTAGTACCCTCCAAATTAATTAATCTGTGAACTGTGAGTAGAAGGGCTGTTGTTTCTGGGATAAACCCAAAGTGATCTGTACAGTCACCTTCTAATTATGTTTTAGTTACAAGGTAACCACCTAATTATTCTTCTTCATATATGTAATTAAATGATAATACAACCAAAGGTTTTCCTGCAGGATTTATAACAATTGTAGAGTAAATATACTTAGCTATTAGCAGCATATCTCTTAGTTTGTCAGAAAGGTAATATATACAATGTTGTAACTACCTTCAGCATCATATATATCACATTTAATTACATGATGAAAAGGAAAACTTTACAATAGAACAAGTTTGTAGCTAAGTAAATCTAACTGGAAAATATGATTGTGTATCTATTAATATCCATAAGTAAGCTTTACTTTCAGCAGATATAAATTCTGCCATATCTCTAGTGACTGCTCTGGAGTGTGGGTGTAAAGTAATAAGCTCCTTTGCACTAAGTGATAATCACTATGAGGTCCTGCCCTAAATTGCCTCTCAGCACTAGCAGATTATGAAATGTTTAATAAATGCATATAATGGGAGGAGAACTAGACCCCGGGGTTTAAATGAGACATGCTTATAGCAAAGGAATAGTTATGTTAGATTTAAAGCAGATTAAAATGCATCTTAATGATTTCATTCTTCTTGTAGCCTTCTCTGTTTAAAGTTGTAGTTGTTAAGTAGGGTGTGTGCACTGCAAACCTCTGGGTGTACAGAAGTAACCTGGTGGTCTTAATGCTGTGCCACCTTCTCAACAGGTGACTTTCCATTTTCCCTTTTCCTGAGTCGGTTGTTCTTCCACCTTCTATTTTTGCAGGCACGAAAGAGGTGAGGATCTGCTCTGGCACTAGCATGTCAACTCTCTTATTTCTTGGCTCTAAATAGGGAATACTGACTACTGACCTCTTGGGGTTTTTTTGGTTTTTTTGTGAAAGCAAAATTATGGCCATTTATGAGGCTCTTATCTACTATGATAGTGGAGGCTGTAGTACTTAATGTAAGTGAAAGATGAGTGGACACATCTGCAGGAAAGTTTCTTGTATCATATGGAAGCTCTGATTAGAAGTTTGGGATGAAGGAATGTATTTCACCCTAATGGAATTCTGAACCTGCTAATACTAGTGGTGTATGTTATTTAATAGCCCTACACAAGATAATTGGATATAATTACAGTGGGCAGGCTTCTCAAGTAAGTCAAGATTCTGTTTCCAAAGAGCAAATCTAGCTGAGTAATCATTGCTGTTCAGTGCTCTTAGGAATGAAAGTTTAGAAAACTCTCCTTTCTGAAGTCTGAGGGACATACCTGCACGTGTTTTCCTGAGACTCCCATTTTCCTTGCTCTGCAGACCTGCTCTGGCTAGTCCTGGCTCAGTTTCATCTAGTTTACATCCTCATTGTAATGACATTCTTCTTTCCTGCTTAACATGTGTATCACATACAAATTATGCAAATTATGGTACTTCAGCAAGGTCTGAGTTTGTAGAGAAATCAAGATGTCTGTTTGTGTTTGAGCATGGGAATGTGCCAATGTATTTTACATGTATGTGCGAGAGATGGAAAAAGAATTGCAGCTTGTTAATGAAATGCTTCTTCAAGAGTGTTTTAACATTTTTAAGTCCATATTTTTAAAAGTGCTCAAGGTGTTAGGTGGTTGGTTAAGTTTTTGTTACCTAATGTGTACTTTGTGGTTTGATAAGCAATTCCTTTACAAAAACCCTGTTTGGAGGGCAAAAAGGAAACAGCCAAAATCACAATTCAATCAAAATTCACAGTTCAGTGCTGAACTGTCAGTCCATTTATTATGGTTAATTTTCAACAATGACACGTGTTATGCCATTTGGAGAGGCAGGATGCTCTAGGTTCTCATGAAAACAGTAGTGCTTAACTTTAGTTTGCTTGGGAATAATTATGCCAGAGTTGGACACGTTTTCATTTCTCCCTTCAGAGGAGTGCTGGACAATTGTCAGATGCCAGTATCTGTCAGTAACCCCCTTCCTTTTGAAAACCATGCAGTAAGTTTCCAAAGGTTTCTTTCACTGACATGGCATAAATGTGATTAAATATATTATATTTAAGTTACAGAATCCTTGAGCTCTTAATCTTGGTAAACCTGTGAAGTTAAACACTTCCTATGGCTTTCAGAGCTTTATTTCATCCAGAAGAAACCATCTGCTTTCCACAAAATATCACTCTGTTTCCTTGATCTCTTCAAATTAATCCTACTGTGATTAACTTCAATCCAATTAAAAAGAACATGTAGGCAGCTGCACAGGTCTGATTATATGTGGACATGATAGTAGGGCTCCTCGTGGGGGAACCAGATTAAGGGCCAATATGTTATGCTAGACGAGGCTGGTAGCAACACTTCAAACTCTGGTATCCTGGTATGACATGCAGTATATAATAGTACCACACTTGCAAGCTATAAAACTCCTTGCAGTCAAGGAATTTAGAGGTTTTCATGTGAGCATATATCATTACATATCCTTCTAAAGATGCTATGAGACTGAGCATTTATGTCTATAGCAAGATCTTGAAATACGACTTTATTGAGTGCAGAGGACTAAGGCATGATGGAGGGGACAGGAATTCCACACTTCATTTCCATGAGCTTGTGGCAACTAGTGCCTTCCTTGTTTACTCTTATTGAAAATGCCAAAACCAGAGCTATTTAGGGCCTAATGCTTGCTGAAGCTTTTTTTTGTTGTTTTCACAGAAAAGCATGCAGAGAAGGGGAAGAGAAGTGATCCTGCACCTCCACCCCCAGATTCACGATCCTCATGAGCTGCCTCAGGGTCTTGCTGCGGGAAACAAGGCATGCAGTTTGCCACAAAAATCTGTGTGAAGCCTGCATGTTCCTCTGCGCTGCACTTAGCCAGGTCCCAGCATTGCAAAGCCTTGTTCCACATCACAGAGGAATTACCATCAGCTTGTGCGGATAATTTAATGAGAAGCACTTCAAAAACGTTTATTGTTATGAATCATATTGCCATGAATAGCCCTGCAGTTGGTGGTGGGCCAGACTTGGAAATGGCTCAGTGCCCAGTGCATCTGCTTTCAGATACCTAAGTGGGGAGTTTTGGTGGCTGGGATTTGATTGTTCCCAGGTGGAACTGCTGGAGACTATCCTGCCTTGAAAAAGAAGCAAGAACAAGCTGAATTTTGGATTTTTTAGCATATGTAGAAAGAAAAGGAGAGAAGCTTTCACCCTCAGCTTGATCTTTGAGTCATGTTTGAAGAACCTGGCCATGATGTGACCAAAGATACCCGAGAAACACAATTATAAGACAATAGGAAGAGCAGAGCACTTAGGAGTAATGAGTCCAGCATTACAAATTAAGGCTGAAAGCTTTTATGATTGAATTGGTAGCATTGGATATTGAATGTTTTACTGTGATTGGAATAGAGTTGTTGTTTTGGGGTTGTTTTTTATTAGGGCTGTTTGTGTATATATCCATAGCTTGTCATTAGTGCTTAGACACTGATTTGTAGCAGCACAAAAGCATTCCATTGAATGTCACTGCAGCTCCTATTCCTTTTCAACATCTCCTTTCTCTCATTTCCTCTTTCTAACTAAAAAAAAAGGTGGAGAAGAACATTACCACGCTGATTTATGTAAATACAGCCCTAATTCAGGCTGGTATTCAGGCAGTCACATAAAAATGATTCAGTCCCATGATGTTTGTATCTTTAATAGCTTTTGGGATGGACGGAATCTTTGTCCTAGTAAGGCCACCTCTGAAGGACTGGAAACATGCAGATTTTTCATCTGAGTTGCACTGAGTATTAGAATGATGAATCAATGATTGCTGAAGCATCTAATTCAATTAAAGCTCTGCATCAAAGAACTGTGTTTGTCAACATGATCTTCAGAGATTTTGAAAATAGATGGCAAATATCCATCTACTACTGTTCCAGCCTTCTTCCAGGAAGAAAATACAGAGATAACTAGTTGTTATCTGATTAAATCTGAAGATTATCAATAAATCTAGAATTTATGAGTCTAGCGTATTTTTGTCTTTTCCACTAAGCTTGTATTTAGTTCTCTTGCATGTGTCATAATTGTTTTCTCTGGGTTACTGTGTGTACAAACAGGATATTCATAAGTGAAAAATAGGAAGCATTCCTTATAGTTTAATGCACCTAATAGAACTATTCAGTCTGAGCATTAATCCATTTACTACTCCAGTTAAACATCCAAAGTATTTACTGGCCAAGCTGTAGGATGGGGACATCATCTTCCATTTCTCCTTGGACCAGGGTTGTTTCTTGATATTGCAGAGTTTACATTCCCTGGGTCATGTCTTGCCACCACCATCTTACCCTGTCAGCATTTTTCACGTTCACACTCTGTACTGCTTACTCTCCCCAGCTCAAAAATTGCACTCTGTGCAATCTTTTCCATCCATCCATCCATCCATCCATCCATCCATCCATCCATCCATCCATCCATCCCACCATAACATTTGGGCCAGTAAAACACACCTGAAGTTAAACAAGATCATGTACTGAAATACAGCCTTGCCATTAATATTTCCCTGATTTTTTCCAACTTTCCTCAAGCATTGACTACACTTTGAATCAAATTGTTTCTGGATACTTTTCAGAGAAAAAAAAAAAAGGGTGGTTTGCCTTCAGTTCCCTCTTACTCAGAGTTTGCAAGTCCTCTGCCTGGGCACTGGGCTGCCAAAGCAAAGGGAGCTCTGCCTCCCTTGGTTTCCAGGATAATTGTGCTGCCTTGTATGTACTGTTAGCCCAGAGATATCTCTGTTATCTCTCAATAAGGCATAATAATGTTTCTCTGTGGGAATCTGCCTTTCACTCCACCACCAGTGTCTTTATAGGGATATATTTCAGCATATATGAGGAAGTTCATATATAAAGGTTTAAATAGCCAGATTTCCTAAAGCACTAAGCAGTAATATCAACTGAGATCCCTTAAGTAAAAATGATAGAGACTAAAGAGAATGCAGTATTCCTGGATTTTGGAGTTTGTGAATGGTTTTTTTGTGTTTTTTCTTTTTCTTCTTGTGTTAGGTTTTTTGGCTTTGTCTTGGTATTTTACCCTTAACTGGTTTAATTGGGAGATACTGGTTGGTTAACATATGCAAGAGGAACTTATCTCACTTCTGGATCTCATTTATCCTGTTTAAAACAGCCCAGTACAGACATCAGATTTTGCAGTATATGGCTTCAAAAGTCATTAGATGACTTTTGTTGGTGGATGTTGTTCAGATAGTGCACCAATATTATCTGTCTCTCCTCTTCCACACACGTGAATAAAACAATCATAATGCCACAGAGGGCTTGAAAGTTACAGTGAATTAAAACTGCTGTTGAAAACAATTTCTATGTGGATCTTTTTTTCCCTCCCTCCACAGACAATAAAGTGAACAAGGACCTTTAACCTCGCACAGGGACTTTGCCAAATAGGTTCAAGAGGTATTTTGCCATTTTCCAGAACTATCTTGCAAGCATCAGGGATGAAACTTTTCCATCACTTCTCTGGCAGAACTGGTTTGAATATCTAAGTTACTAGGAGGTTACCAGCAAGTAGGTCATTCCCAGTGGTGTTCTTTTCAAGGGCTGAATGATCCCATGCAAAGGCAGATGAAATGAAGCCAAAGTGAGTGTTTGTTAGCTAAGGAAAACATTCTTTTCTGTTGCTGTCAATCACATGCACAGAAAGAGAGATTCAATCATAGTGAAGACATTGGACATTCAGCTCAGCTTGATTTTTTAATTTTATAAACAGTAGGAGGCTCAAGAAGAAACAATGAGGAAAAGCAGAGCTACAGAATCAGAAAATAGACTCAACTTTTGATTCCTATGTCATTTAAATCCAAATTACAGTTATTTACTCAGTCCAGAGAGCCTAAATTTTCACCGTTTTCCAATTTGATCAGCTGTGACAGCAGACTCCATGAAAAAGTCCTGCTTCAAATTTTAATTGATAAATTCACGTCTTTCATTGTTTTTTTTTCCCCCCCTTCTTATTCTGCTATGGCAAATGTAATGCCACATAGCTTTTTTCGCTAGAAACAACACAGACTGCAAAATAACCTTTGCAGTTAGCAAGATAAAGGATGTGCCATTAGTAACCCCATAGCTCCGGATTCCTATCCTGCTCAGCCTCACAGATCAACATTGCAGAGATACAACCTTTACTTGGAGTCCTGGTTCCTGCCTGCCTCCTGCAGGAGCTGTGTGGACACCTAAGGTTCTGCCTTTCTTGCTGAAGAATAATTTTTAAAGACAATGACCATAATAATAGTAATTATTTCGAATTGGATATTTCAATGTCAAAAGCAACAATTTTTTTTTCTCTATTTTAAAATCTCCCAAAAAAAGGGTGGTATTTCCTGTACTGAAAAAGTACCAGCTTATTTATCAAATGTTGAAAACCACAGATTTATTCCAGTTAGCATCAATTTGTTCAAAATTTGAAAAAGAAAAGCAGTGAAGACTTTGCTTGACCAAAAACCTCAAGCATCTCAGTACTTTTGGGCATTAGGACATAACATTTTTGTCCAAGCAAGTTAAGCACAAATTCCACTAATTCAGATTCCTCAAGATCTCCATACTTGATGTTTTCTGTGGACTGACCTGAGACTTTCATAGCCTTTGCTGGCAGGACACAGAGGATTTGGGTGAAATCTTAATCCTTTATGCTTAAAGTCCGGCAGGCAGAATCCCACATTATAAAATTTTATCCAGTGGACTTGTCTGTATTCTAAAATGTTTTTTAAAGATCTCAATTAAACTCCCTTTGAACACATTAAAATGTGAATTAAGCAGTCCTCTGTTCTCCATGTCGGTGCCATTCAGTGGCTTTGGCTGGGCTTGATCCGTGTACAGGATCTTCTGCTTATTGTTGAGCACCCTCTCCTGGCTCTCTGCTATTTGCACAGAAGTTATATCATGGATTGAGTGCTCTGGAATAAACTGCAGTGCCCAACTGAGGAGGATGTCTGCTCAAATAATATGAGTTGCTGGTCTCCTTAAAGCATACCTGGTTTTAACAACATCGCTGATTTGCAGCCAAGAAATCCTTCTAGTGGTGAAATTCCTTAGCAAGGATTTTTTTCTTGCCTCTAACGCTACTTCTAATTGATCCCAGAAAAGCACTTGCAGACTAGAGAATACAGTGCATAAAGCATAATCTGATAAGGGTGTGATGCCCAGCTGGTAAAAATGTTCTTTATTGGGTGACTAAGCCTACACATCTCTCAATGGATGTTATCTTTCTGTAATACCTCAAGCGGCCTAAGGCTTAATCTAGGCATGAATTGGTGTGTCATAAAGCAAGGGGTTTTTGCTGGGATTCTGGCAATAAACAGCAGCTAGAATGAAAATAGGAGGTGAAGCTGCAGGGTTACCACTCAGTTAAGAGTTACAATATGAGAAACCATCATCTGATTTTTGGATCTCAAAATAAATCGAGCTGGAGCACATGAAAATGCTCTTGCAGTGTGTGACTGCTTGCCATGGCTAAGGCAGTCCAAAATTCTTTGAGTAAGTTACAGCAGAAAAGGCAGAAATCTTCACTCTTTGTTGCTCTCCTGTTATTCCACATCCAGGCAGCATTACTGCTAAATTTAGCAGTTCTCATGCACCTCATCTGGATCCATCCAGTATCTTCAGGTCTCTAATGAAGGCACCTAGTTATACAGGTCTTGGTCGTTATCCTCTTCATAGTTTGCAGGAGTTCAGGGACATGAAATTCTTAATTTTGGCCCTTTATGGATTTGTGAATGGATCTGCTGTTGTTAGCAACCCACATCTCTGCTGGCTTCAGAGAGGTATTTGCCCTTGGGACATACTCTTCATTGAGGAAATCACCACTGCACAGAGATCAAGAACCAGGCTCCTCCTAAAGCTGCTAACAAGACATTCAAAACAGCATCATACCCAGTTTCCTGAGTGCTGACAATTTTAAACATGAAATTTAAGTGCTTCCAGGCTGGTTTAAATTTGCAACATCATCCAAAGTCTCTGTAATATTTGCTCCAATTATCATGTTAAATAAAACACTGATTTAGCAAGGAGTTTCTGACATCAGTCCCTCTCGTTTTACCCTCAGGTGCCACACTTGCCCAGCTTGAGGAATTCTCAGTGGAAAGTGACATTTCTGAGCACGGGGAACATTGTCACTGAGCATACACCAAAGAGTAGGATGCCAATTTGCAGTAGCTGAGGATTATACTCCAATTTTATATTGCACTGCACTCTGTGGCTTTGTATTCCTATACAGCAAGTATGACCCTGGCTTTTATGGGGGGAAGCCATCATTTCTCCTAGATGCTATCATGGGACTGTTTGGTGTAAGTAAAGATATCCTGTTCAGCTCTTTGATTTCAGCCTTCAAGCCAGCTTTCATTTTGGATTACCCTCAATTAGAGAAGGTATTTCGAATCTTTCTGCTGTTTAATTGGAAGATGGGAATAAAGAAGCAGGTAGAAACAAAGAGAATACAGAAGTATTTTCGGGTAATTGCAAAATGAGAGCAGTGGTGTTACTGAATTTGAGCGGATGCAAGCAGGGGCTGTTTCAATTTGTGTGTGGCTTTGATACAGGCAAAGACACAAAAGCCTTATGGTTTTTAAGTTAAGAGGCTCAAAGAATAAATTGACTGCAGCTGAGATCTGAAGCAAAATACTTTGTTTATTTCTTTTCTATGTGTTAGAATACACCTTTTTAACTGCAAGAGAAACTCCCCAATTTGTATTAATGAGATTAACTGGAAGAGAAAGAGTGGCACATAGACAACGTATTTTGAAGTGTTCTTATTTATTTATTCCACAGTGGATACAATCATCCCAGCTTTCTTTTGTCTGATTCCTAAATCACTTGGATAGAGTTTCATCAGGAAGGAATAAATGGAAGTGGTTCGGTTGAGTTGCAGAGGACTGTTCTGCAAACTATCCATGTTCCAGGTCGAGTAAGCAAAGAATTGATAAGATGTGGTCTCACTGTAGCCATGTCTTGGCTAGACAGTGCTTATTGTTGCTGATTAACATTTTTGTCAATAGAAGCAAGGAGAGGCCATTATAACAGGCATGAAAAGACGGTGAGATGGAAGGCTCTGGGGTTGAAGGCCAGAGTGGGAGCAGGTTGCTCACCCAGCTGCAGGGATGTGTGTTTTCCCTCCGGGCCTGATGGACCGCACCCATCCCCTCCATGGGCTGAGAGCAGTTGCAGAGTGAGAAAAGCCCATTTTCCCTTCCCGTACACGTGTAGAATCCCTTGCAGGATGCTGGTGCGGAGCAAGGCTTCCCCAGCTCGCTTAGCACCCGCACGCCAGCCCCTCACCGGGAGGCACTTGGCAGTCCTCCGCTTGGCAGAGGCAGCAGAGCACAGCCCAACTGCGGCAGCCGGGGCCGCCCTGCATCTTCAAGTAAGTGAATTCGCTCGGTTAATTGCTCGCAAGTGCTCCCTCCGAGCACCTGTAAATTGTTCAGTTTAATCGGGTGGCAGCTGTTGCCGGCTGCCTGGGTTCTTGCTGCCTTGGAAGGAGTTGGGAGATGAGAGCAGCAACTTGTGGCGTGATTATCCTTTTCTCCATTTCCTCTCAATTTCATTGTCATTTTCTTCTCTCTTAAGAGCGCTTAAAAGCATTTTTTTCTCCTTATAATACCCACAGGAGCTGTTGTGAAGTGCACTTTTTGCGTTTAAGGTTTCAAAACCTAAAATCTCTGACTTTAAGAGGTTTGGAGAGTGGTTTAGTTGGAAGACTGCTGCTGTGCAGACACCTGCAAAACATTGAACTTAAGCTGGCACAGCTGGAGGGAGGGATAGCTGAGACTGATGGGTGATTGCACTGCTGTGCTCCAGTGCCCTCTGTCTCCCGCAGGAATGAGAGTCTCTTGCTAGTGGAAAGTAGATGCCTGAATATTTGGATGGATCTGGACTTCGGTTTTGAGAACTTGATAGCTCTAGTGGGACAGTTACTTTTCTAACATCCTAGTAGGAGGGAAATAGTCATTAGTAATAAATGGGAGAGGTTATTTTAGTTGTGCAAAGTGTGGGAAGAATGTAACACATCTATCTATGGGGTTTATGGGGCTGGGGTAACCCTCCATCTGCAGAGGGTAGAGGGAGCTGAAGCTCTTATGCAGGTACCTCCACTGATTCTCAAAGTGTACTAGAGGAAATTATCCTTGTGGTACATTACAGATGACCAGGAAGGACTGGCTGGAGAGGCATTGCTCTGAAGTGTAGCTGGGTTTATCAGAATCCCTTTGCCATTCCTGAAGTAGGTGAAGATTGTTACCTCTGCAGTTATAATGGTCGACTGCAGGAAACTCAGGTAAGAATTGAGATCTATGGGCTTTCTAGTTCTTTAAAATAGTTCCTGTTTTTGCAGGACAGAACCGTGTGTGTGTGTAAGCGAGCTCTGCCTTCATATGTAGGTTTGTGCCTCCCTGTCTCTTCCATTCTAGGTTGCAAGACATGCCATCCCGGGCACATTTCCTTCTGTGGCAGCTGAATCTGGGTGCACAGCCTACACAAATAAATGAGTGTCAAGGTTTATGGGAAAATCACCTTCTATAGGAGCATTGCCTGTAGTCTTACTTTAGAAAAAACAAGAAAATTTTGTGTTAATGCACTACTGGTGAGAGAGAAGCTCCTGATCCTGAGCAGTCAGACCAAGACAAGGGAGGATTTTCCCCTCCCAGGAATAACCAGCCAGAGCAGGAACATACTCTGTCTGGTGTCACAGCAATGCCATAGCATAGCAAAATCCTCAGGAGACACTGAGAGGAGAGGGCAGGGGATGGCCACACACAAGGACCTGACTTTGTAATGTGGTGGGTAGGATGCTCTGCTGTCAGGGTGTGGGGGAGCCTGGGCCCCGCTTCCCAGCACCATCAGCATTTTAAAGTCAGCATATGAAACAAAGAACAACAGATCTGTTCCCCTAGTCTGACCCAAAATTAGATGGCAAACAAAGCAAATATCCAGACTAGTGAGCTGTTGAAAACCTGTCTGTGGGTTTTGGAAATGAATTCCCCCTCCTTTCTTTATTCTTATACTTGCTGAGTGGCCAGGGTCTCCTACCTCTTTTCCTGAACACAGATTGCCTTTCCTTGGCTTTGAAAGGAGAGTAATTTTGACTGGTGTGATAATAAAAGGATAAAGCCTGTCATGATTAATAGTCACATGAAATCATGTGTGAAGAACATTCAGTTATAGCTATCCTCAGGAGAAAAAAGTTTCCCAAGTACCTTAACAGAAAGAAGGGAAAGGGACAATATGTCTATGATTCTGTGTGATCAGTCACTTTGCACACAGATAAAAGGTAAGGAATATTGCTGTCCACAGAGAGCATTTGGGGGGAATTGGCAGTGAAAAGGTTAAGGGGGAAAAAAAAAAGTTTGTGAAACATTTACAAAAAGTTTGGCTTCTGCTAAAATTTGGAGCAGTGCTCCACTGGGAGCTCTTCTAGCCCAGGGGCTGCTTCTGTTTAAAATCATTAATAGCCAGCTCAATTTCTGCCAGCGTGATTGGCTGAGCCAGTATAGTCCGATTAATTTGACTGAGCTTGAAGATAGAGAGGAAATATGAAAACCTTTTCAAGTTGCTGGTACCTTCTGGGATCTCAGGCATACAGAGGTCTTGAGAAATCTTGACAAATTCATACTTGGGGGGAAAAATTTGCTAAGTGGTTCACAGGGGCTTAACTATATCTTAATGGGCAGTGATCAGACAAAATGTTGCAGAGTGGTTTCAGCATAAACTCTATGATGTCTGATCCTTGTTTTTAAGGGAGGGATGTTATCTCCAGGAATAACCTAGCCTTTTGTCTGGACTTGCAGAGCTTGCTGATATTCTGTCCAATTTTTACAGTGTAAATAAAATTGTTTTGGATGTTTATCACCCCGATCAGCAGTAGTTGTAAGTTATATAGCCCAGATAATACTAGTGAGATCTATTGAAATGCTACTGGGCTATAACTCAGGAGTATCTGCCCTAGCCTGCTTCCTTCCCCTGCATTTCATTCAGTGGTTAGGAGCAGCTGTCCATCGACTAAGCTCTTTCTTCACCCTAAAAGAAAACATGTGAATTAATAGAGCAGGAAAGTGAAAAATTGCCCTTCTAGTTTTTGAATTATTGTGAGGTTTGCTACCTGGGTTTTGATGCTCCCTGGAGCAAAGTGAGGGTTTTGAATTGCTGTCTCTGGTTTTTACCTGGAATTCTGCCCTAGTCAAACTCTAGGGTGATGTTCATGTTTCCGCAAAGTCTTGAATATACCAGTTGGAAAACAATTTATATCTACCGTTTATCCAGGTAGCTTTATGCTTGAGTATGAAAGAAATCCCCAAAGCATAGTTCCTGCCCAAATTGCTGCTCTCCATGCCTAAAATTCCAGGCAAGGAGTGGATTCAGTTATGGAGCCATAAGCTGCTGAGAGGGAGATGATGCTGGGAGGCATGTGACACAGCAGCCTCAACATGGGCTACTTTACCATTACCAAGGGTATCCTGAAATGATGTGTGTGGAAGGAAAGAGTGTGCCACGATGGAAAACAGCTCAAGTAGAGATGGCAGAGCTTTTATACTGAATGTAAAAGGAATTAGATGTAGAGGGTTCAGCTGTCAACTAAACTCCAGAGAGGACAATGCTTTGCTGGTAGAAGAGAGCGATAGAGTTTGCTCATATGTGAGTGTGTGTTAATCAGCAAAGTGTGCAACAATTTGCCTTAATGTGAAACATGTACCTTGATCAGCAAATTATCTGCTTGCACATTAAATTATGCACTGTGATCTCTGAGGTGTATTAAATATTGAAATCAGAAATTTTATCATTAATGGAAAGCTAATGAGCAACAACGATATTATGTGCCTCGGTTGACTTTTGTCAGAAGCAACCCATTGTAGTTGGAAGGTGACTTTTCTGAGTCTCTGGTGGTAATATGCCAATTATTTCAGTTATCAATGCCCCTGGAGGCTCCAAGTACCTACCATGGATGTTTTACTTCAGCCTGTGTATGGAGCAGGGTTTCTGTATATAGATAAAAGCCAATTTGAACAGACTGGAGGAAAGAAAGACCAGTTTTTACCATGCAGATTTATAGCTAAAGGCATTCTACCAGCTTCTGTGTTTCAGCTTCTTTCATCCAATGAGGTGGCTTTTAGGATGTGCAGTTTCTTTGGACTTTGGGTAATAAAAGCACGAGCTGATGCCTTCACCTACAGTTAACATGTAGGTGCCTAAATTAGAATAAATACATATGCAATGTGTAAAGTGCCTGAGGATGACTCTAGGTAATTCAGTCTCTGAAATGTTTATTATTGGGATTATTGAGCCATCAGAAGTCCCAGTCAAGATCAAGGCCCCATTACAGCAGACTGCCTTTCCTGTCCCTGCTTTGCAGTTTAAACAGGTCTAGGAAAGTTGTGTGACTTTTTCAAGGACACTTAGCTTGTCAGTGACAGACCAGGAGCTAAACTGAGATCTTCTGCTGTTCGGTTTATGTTGAGGTAGAGGTGTTGGATTGCATATCATATATAGATATGTCCAAGTTAGTTTTTACCTAGCAGTATGGGCTTCATTTATGGTAAAGAGTGTCTGGGTGGGCCTGTTGGAGACCATGTCACTGCTGTGCCTACCCATACTGTCCTTTCAAAGCATCTCAGCACATCCACATCTTCCCTGTTTGCACCAAGTCATGCACAAATGAAGCTGAAGGCTTTACAAAATGCTTTCACCAATGAACTAACCTGCTTTTTTCAGCTCAAGTGGATAAGCTGAAGCCAGATTTGTACACAACTCTAATTACCCACGACATGGCAGATGTCACAGGCTCACTGCTTGACAGACAACAATTCCCAGTTCCTGGTCTCTGTTCCTCAGCTGCTCTGCTGGCTGTGCTGCCATGTCTTTCCCCCTCCACTGCTTGGATCTGTGCAGCAGGAGTGGGGCCAGGAAGGTGGTGGCACTGCTCATCCCACTGTGGCACACGGTACCAGGAGCCTGCCTGGCGGGTGTGTGCCTGGTGGTGAAGTCGGGTATTGGCTTGCCTGGCAGGCTGACCCTGCCTACAAGCACAGAGCTGGATGAGGCTATTTGTACGGCTTAGAGATGTTTTGCTTTTACATCCCTCTCCATTGCAGCACATTATTAGACTCCCTTGACTTTTATGAAGGTCCTAAATTGCTACAGAAAACAGTGCTGTTTTCTGCTGGCTTAACTATTGCATTCCTTAAGGCTTGTTTTTCACTGCTACACTTTACTGCCTGTTAACTGGATTTTTATCTCCTCTGCCTCTGAATGTCTTCTGTAAAAGTCCAAAGTAAGCCACAGCTTGCCCAGAGGAATATTCCAGGAGAGAAAAGGAAGAATTCAGGAACAAAAATAATGTAACTCCGGCAATCCTGTTGCAAAATAATACTACAAAAACATTTAGGCATGAAAGAGTGATTCCCCCCCAAAGACATCTACTTAGAGTACAAAAGAAAAAGCTCCCCAGGGACTTGCTCTCTTAGAAGAGATTGCAAGTCTAGTTTATCCTCTTTAGATGCAAGTGTAGCTTACAGATAACTTTGAGGTGTGCATTAATAAGGATGGTATTTTCTCTCATTCATTGTTCCTTATTCTTTTGCCCCCAAATATTGGAGAAAAATGGATTATGTATTGTTATACTCCTTTGGGTGTGATAATTGCACTTAACTGTGTTGAGGCAGCAGTCTTCCTCTCAGTCCCCAAACACCACCTGTTTGATGTGGGGACAGAGCAGAGATGCACAAAAGCGGTTGCTGTGGTGGCCCCAGGCAGCATGGGTTAGCGGTGGGCAAGGGTTATTCTCCACACCCTCTTTTGTGGAGGATGGGGCTGAAATGCAAAATGGGAATTTGATGTCCTTGCCTAGTGGTTTATCCCTCAAAGTTCAAAGACACTGGGCTGTGTTCCTCCCTTGCTGGCGATAGTTTGCCTGAAGGCTTTGCTAACTTTACCCTGAAATATGTTCCCACAGACTGTTTATGCTATTCTAAGCCAATTAAATAAAAGCACTGCTAAGATGTTTGTTTAGCAGCCTCTGGGCTCTTTATGTTACAGCACGAGCAAGGGCTGCTTTGGAGGGGTTTTACTGTGCCCACGCAGAGCTGATCCCAGCAGAGCCCAAGGCACAGAAGAGACACAGGGTACCCTTTACAAGGCTTGCTGAACTAGAGACAGGTTTTGAGAGAGACATCTGTATAGGTTGGGGGGGGTCTTCTGACAATTTGAATAGTTTGGGGAAGTGAGTGTTGAATGAAGGTTTCCCAACACTACTTTATTAGCCAAAGTTTACTGTGGTGAAACGGAGGCTAATGGAGTGTTTGCCCCACTAGTAGAGCTAAACGTGGCTCTAGGTTTAGATTTTCTTTTACCAGAAGTTACTTGTGAGCTAACATTGAGGGCTGATCCAGGCTGCGTGCAGGGAAGTGGTACATATCTCCTGTTTGCTCTTCAGTGTGTGTTCAGACATCAGCTGGGTGATTTATGTGAAGAGGAATAAAAGATTGGTTCTGGTAGTGAAATTTAGGGAGCAGCCTGAAGTACTACTGAAGCTCTTGTTTTATTTTACAGGAGCGTGAAGGATTCATTACTTGACAGAGCAAATAATATATTTTTTTTCACCAAACAAGTAATAAATGATTCGGAGGAAGAAAGATTTTTAAATATCAGTGGACTCTGTTCATGGTCATATTGCATCACGTGGAAGAAAAGACAAAAATCAGTGAAGGAGTTTCAAGAACATTCAGGTAAACAAGAACTTAATGCGGGGATACAACCAAGGATAGTCCTTAACCAAGGCCAGACCTCAAATTAATGTTCCTGGAGATATAGAGAGGCTGTCATGATATTTTATTCCTTTCTGCTTCTGATAGAAGAACAAGAATTCTTCTTGAAGGACAGGGCAATTTCTGTTGCAAAACACACTATCCTGAGTAGCAGTAGTAAGACCTAAATCCATAGATTTCTTCTTTGGTTTCATATATTTGATAGCTTCTAATCCCTTAACAGTGCTTGCTTTGTGTGATTTGGTTTTTAATTGCATTTCTCTGAATTAGTTACTAAAATGATTAAAAAAGATAACTAAAGGTATCTGTTAGTCATTAATATTAGGGTTCATAGAACAGGTATTTTGAGTCTTTCAAAGAAACTGCAATACTTTTTGGCTGAGAGGGTATGATTTCAGTTCAAATAGTTAGAGAGGAGGAGGAGGACACTGGCTGAGTGAAAACACTGTTGTAATCTTGTGCATAGATGGCTTTCGGTATACAGGGCTAGGAAAGTGCCCTTCCCCTGTGTAAAGAGACTACAATTGCATTTAAGAAAGCTAAAATATTAATTCAGCAGATGTGTGCCTTAAGATACCAAACTACTTTTTTGAAAGGAGAATTCAATAGCTGATAAAATGAGAAATGGTTATTTTCAAATATTCAAGAGCTATTCAAGAGCCAGATGTGCATTAGTTTAGCAGTACCCTGGCAGATCAGGTTGACTTTTTAAGTCCAAATTTGGATGGTAACAGATGGTGTCCAGTTAAGCTGGGTTGCCCATTCCCATCCTGCTGTCTCCAGCTTGTTAATTGTGATAATTAGACACCTTCTAACTTTAAATATCCTCAGACTTATCTCATGTATTTTCTGCCATTCAGCCCACTCCTGGATGGAGTATTTTGCAGCTTAAATGCTGAAGAGATGTTACTCCTATCTCATCTTGAAACTGTTAATAAAAAATATTATTGTGAGACTTTTCTACTTGTTTCAGAAGTTTCATTGTAAGGACATAATTTTTCTTCAGTGAAACAAAGAGCAGTGATTGGTGGCAGGCAAAGCATTCAGGTGACTGACCTGTGTTTTAACCACTGTTGTCACTTTTGTGCAAAGCTCTGTGATTGTATAAATGCTGGGATTATGGGAATGGAATGAAAGCCCGGGATACCTCAGGAATTAAATGTTATTTATGTCTGTGGAGCAATTAATTCACCAGCTACCTGGGAGAGAACGCTCTGCCCTTGCACTTTCTGCCATATGGAGGACATCAAGCTGGCCAGACTCCAGTTAGGACAAAAATTGTTACTTTGAGAGCTGTTTTCTGAAGCACCCTGTAAGATGCCCCTGATACTGAGGCTTGCAAGTCAATTTGGTGCCTTGAAAATTGTGCTGATCGGTCATAATATGTGTGTAGTAACAATCTGAGGATCAGGGATGCCCCTGTCTTGTTTCTTCATTGACCTTAAAGGGAGCCTAAGCAGATACCTGAGGCTCAGCATCTGAGTTTTAGATAAGAGAACACAGATAATTTTGAAAACTCAATTGCATGTTCAGTTGCACCACTGAGAACTAGACTGTGGGTGCACTGCTTCCTGCAGCTCAAGAAGGCTGTGAAGACCAGAACACACTCTCCCCAGGTGTCAGCTCAATCTCTTCATCTCCTGGAATTGAGTAAGACTTTCCCAGATGTTTTTTGTACTAAAAATTTCAAATCTTCTGAATTGCTGAGGAGAGAAAAGTCGGCACCTGTCAACCTGAGTCCTATCCCAAGAACGCATTTTACGTGTTATAGTATTGTGCTTCAACTTTTTCTAGCTTCTCCATACCCTGGAGACAGTCTGCTGCCATGTGCCCTTTGCAGAGCAGGCCCACCCTGGTCCTGTGCCAGGCTCCAAGAGTGCAGCTCAGCCTTCCTGTCAAAGTCCTTTGTCATTCAATTACAAACTGGTGCTGCCGTGCCCCATGAGGTAGAACAGAAAATTCTTCTTCCATACGCTGGCAAGAAGCACAACACATGTGTTTTGTACCATTTGCAGCTGTGCAGGGGGAGTTGAAATGACTGATGGAGCTTCTGTTGGTGCTACTGATGATTTCTTTGTCCTTGAAGTTTAGGACTTCTTCCTTGAAGCTTTTCAGTAAGAGCTGCTGCAGACTTGACACGTTGGCATTACTTTAGTCTTCACGGAGGAACACAGAGGACGATTTACAGATGTGCAAAAAGCACTAGCTGGAGCTGCCTCTGCTCTAAGTCTCTAATAATTCTACCTTGGGAGAGAAGAAAATTATTAAAAACCTGTGCTCCTGAATCCTTTCCCTGCTTCTGTCCTATGATGTGAACATATTACTGAAATCCACAGAGCTGGTGAGTTGCAAATTCCCTGACCAGGGCACTCAGTTTGGATGGCTCTGCTTCCCCCTGAGCTGTCCATGCAGCTGCCACTGGCAAGGATATGTGGAGTGAGCAGCCAGCCCATAGTGCAGCCTTTCTGGGATGTGCTGCAGCCAATTATAAGACCAATGGAAGCAATGACTTGATTTTATTTTTTTTTCCCTCCACTACGGAATACAGAGAAATAAATATTCAGGCTCTGTAGCTGCAAGTAGAACCCAAGGGCAAGGTCAAATGTAAACATTTTGGGAACTTTTTGGTTGACCTGTAATGGCCTTTTCAGCCTTCTAGAGTATAAGAGTCATCAGGCTTCTGGTCAGAGTATTGGGTTGTGCTTAGAGCTCACGTTATTTCTTCCCTTAGGCAAGATACTGTGCTTTGTTGTTATTCTACTGTAAAGGTCAAGCTGCTGAGGCATTAAATGCATCCCTCCTTTTCCTGTATTAGCTGTTTTCTCTTTTAGGTCTGCTTCCACGTTTGGGGCTTGTGCCTTCCCTGGGTAGTTACAATGAGACTACTTCATAAGCAAGTTAAACACCTAAAGTACTCTCATTCTGTCTATTTTCTTCCTCTGGTTTCACCAACTGTTTCCAATCTTGCATATTGATATCCCCAGGAAGGCAGTCTTTGTAGGCAAGTAAATTAAATTGAGTGGCAAAGCTTGACACCAAGTTTATGGACAATTGTCGATTTAGTTACCTCTGAGAAGCATTTGACTCCCAAAGAGAGGCACAATATATTGCAAATATGCTCTAGTCTTCTTCAAGGATTTTTCATGTAGTGGGAGAGTTACAGGATCATAAGTAATGCCTTATGATTAGCTAGAAGTTTGTCATTCAAAGAACAGGATCTCAGCAGAAGGATAATGTGGCTGGAGGTAAAATTATTGTGCTATTTTGGGGGCTTTGGGGTGGTGGTGGTTCGTTCAGGATTTTTTTCCCCTTGTTTTTTTTGTTTGGTTAGGGACATGATGGATGGAAAACTTCATTTAATATCCTATGTGGGAGATGGTGCTGTTGGGATCTTGGAGTAAATTTGGGACCATCCAGCACAGCCAAGATGTAGTGAGGAGCTGACAGTCAGGATATGGTCATTAACCATGTATGGCCAGCAAGTCTCTCTGTAAGGCTGGCCTCATTTTCTGCAACATTCAAAATTAATCAGGAAATGAGGATTTTATTAGGGGGTTTATATGTTTTCCTCCATTCTCTGGGATAATCATCCTTGAGATCAGGGATGGTCATCCTCATCTTTTCCTGCAGTCTGGCCAGGGTAAAAGGAAAATTATTAGGCTACTTTCAGTCTACCTTTTCTGACTTTTCAAAGCATTATCACGTGTATGGTGCTGAGCTTCCAACCTGTAATCTTATGATTAGATGTAGCAGGATTTCTTGTAGTTCTAGTTGCTATTCAAAAGTTTACAGTTTTAAGACTGAATAGCTGAATTTCTTTGGCCTTGAGTCCTGATTCTGCAAACAGGTCTTATCAAGAAGGGATTTTGTGCAGGTCAGGAGCTTGATTTGCTTTTCTGTCTTTTATATTATGTCTTTATAACCCTGAAAGATGCCTTGATGATTATGGCCTTGTGATATAGCAAAGTGCAGCAAGTGAACTTTTCTTTTTTATGTTGTTTGTTGCTTTGGATTTTAGTTTGGTTCATTTCTAAGGAGCTAGTAGCTCAAATTGGTTTGGGAATTGCTAAAAGACTGCCTTAGTGCTCTAAGCCAAACTCTCAGTCCAGTAAAACTCTTAGGTGTAGGTTTAACTTTAGATATGGGTTTTAGATTCCATCATGCAAAATGGACTTCTGGGAACACCTGTGGATTTTATTCAACTCCTGCCACATTTAAGGGCCAGTAGTACCCTTGGAAATGGTGTATTTAGTGACCCATGGCAGTGCTTCTTTCCCTGAAGACGAGGAGTAGGACACAATTTTGGCTAGGAGGTGTGTTATTCTAATAGGATATATCCAGTATTTCAGAGTGAAGCATGCTTTTGTCCCTAAGTGTGCTGTTTGTTGGCAGTGTGGCTAGTGCAGCTCTCTCCAGCTCACCAGTGTATGAATGAGAGAAGCTTGGAAGTGGTTTATGCTCACTCAGACAGCAGCTCTGACACAAGAGAAAAGAGAAAAAAATGAAACATGCTGTTGCTTTGCGCACAGATTAAAAAGCTGCTGCGGACTGTTCTGCCCAAGACAGGATGTGGCAGTCTGAAAAAGAAGAAATAGAAGTAGTCTGGGACTTGGTTTCATTTCAGCTGGTGCCAAAATCAGTATTTGTAACTGAGTGAGTCTTGTATTCCTGCAGAATTCATTGGGATGAGAGATTTGGAAACGTGCTCCTTTTGCTCTGTTTAATAAAACTCAGGTCACAGCATCTCTCAGGACCTCAGTTTCTCACAAAATTAAGGGGAGACAATATTATTTATTCCATTAATGTGTTTTTTTGGGTTGGACTTACCCCCCCATCATAGGAGTTAATCACATGGCAGTCTCTCTGTAGGTAAAGGAGACAGAAGAACCTCCAGAGAGCCAATGAGCCCAGCTGAGATCTGAATTGCTCTCTGGAGTTTTATCTCTGTCAAGTGGCTAAAGGTGGTATTTAAGCAAAGGCACGTCCCTTTTAGGTGGCTTGATTAAATGCCTTCAGGACAGTGGAGTGAAACTAGATCTCCTGAGCTACAGATGGTACTGAATTTACATGGCCTGAAGTATTTTCACTGGCTATGCTGGAATTTTTCAAGTATAAAACAGCAAAATACCTTTTCTTGAAGGCACAAAGAGAGAGCACCATCCACATGATTAATCTCACCTAGTAACCTGTGGTTTCTGGAAACTTATGCTAAAATTGTCATAGGAAAGAGAATTTTTTTTCTATTAACATGCAAGCAGCATTGCATTTCC